TAATGAACTAAATGGATACTGAATACTCATAGAATAAATATTTAAGTGAAATATCAAGTATATTTAATTAAAAACTAAAAAGTCGTATAAATTTAGTAATATGATCGATTTGAGCAAAGCCACATAATCCATAGTCTAGCATGATCAGATTAATAAAAGCTTATAGGCGGCAGCCGAACATTAAATCCAAATTAGGCGGTACCTACGCCGCGTGACTCACTATGGTGTTACCATAGAGGCCACAGTCACCCGCGCACATTTCCTGACCCAATCAATTTATATTCCACTGTCAATACTTACTTACTTACATATAAGAAAGCACTTCATCAAATACAACGGTACATATTTATAATATTACAATTGTTGTGATAGACTTTATTGATCGAGAGGTCGTATTTAAGGTATTGTGTACATATTTATTGTGGTAGGTACAATTACAGGCATTATTGTGTTTTATAATATACTTTTTGATTATTCATACCCTTCATCTATTTATAGTCTGACAAATAACGTGAAAGTTCGTGAGTATGGATGGATGTTTATTACTCTATCATTCAAAAACTACTGAACGGATTATGATTAAACTGTAAAATAAGCTATATTACAGAATATAATATAAGTTGTAATTTAACAACATATTATTTAAATTGAGCGGAATATAATGATAAATGTTGAAGTTGCACTGGTATGCTAGTAAAGAAAACATTTTAGTTGTTTGAGATTGAATGTGTTAATCTCGGTAACTGCTTTTTAATTATAAGCATTAGATAATACATTATCAAATGTTCTATTTAAGCAAATATTTCAGTGTTAGATTTCGTTAATAGTGAAAGGGTATAGGCTCTATAACATGCGATGAGTAAGAGCGGAGTATCTACGATAAATGTTACGAAAACAAGGAAATTTATTCCTATTGAACGTATCTGTTATTTCAGTTCTTGATTCTTTAATTTTTGGCTAACCTGGTGCATGTTTTTAATATAAATTCTACATTTTAATTGATATACAATAGTACTTTGTACAATATTACACTGTAATGACGTACTTATATTGTTCAAAATGACATAATTGATTAATTATTTATTTATTACTAGTATTTACATAACCTAATTCTACAACTAAGAACCTAAAATTAAAAAGCTTAAAAAAATATAATATGATGACTAAAATATATTATTAAAAGGGGTCCCTTTAGGCAACGTTCCGAAGATACTGGCAGCGTTCCCTCTTTGAATAGCTAGACTAATTCTTTGTCCAAGGTAGCTGCCAGCTCTTCGGTATTCTGTGATGTAATTATTATATTAAATATAATTACAGTGTATATTTAATAATATATTGCATATCCAATTTTAAGTTAATTGAGGCTCTGATAACAATTACAAATGTTTTTTTTGATCTACGAGTAGACGTTGTGGCACTTTGTACTTGTAATAACAATAAGTTTTAAGATTTCTGATTGTAAACCGAAAGCTTCCTCGAATGTACTATGTGGCAAAACCTCACCAGTTGGTTCTGCGTTTCTGGAAGGAGCTTGGCTGGTTATTTTGAGTAGTCTCGGCTCTATACGCACAACAGCCAAAACTAGAGGCTAAATGCAGGAAGTACGTGTAGAGTCCAACATACGATACTATAATTATATTTAATAATCTATTGCACATCTTAATTAATTAACGCTCAGTTTACATTTACAAATGTATTTTTCATTTATAACTCTACGAGTAGGTATAGTACGACTTTGTCATAATTATAATTAAGAAGAGTTCGAACTATCGATATCAATGGATTATGAACTTTTTGACCATTGCCCAGAGTAGATAGATTCTTGAAAATTAACATGTTTTCAATAACATCTTATGACGCACCAAAAATTTTTTACAAATAAAATTATTATTATTATAAGCATTGTGGCTTGGTAAATAGGTAATACGGTATTATCACGTTGTATCTCACATTGTGAAATTCAACAACTGATTATTAATAACTACAGAACTCCATCCATGCGTGTGCGACACGCTCTTGTTAATAATTTTAGAATATATTGTAACGTTACGCATAGAACAGTTGCTTAACCGTTTCCTCCGCGCTATTAACGTAGTACAACATCCTTTATGAGAGGCACTTTGTTTCCTTATGTTGCTGTGTATACATATTGCTTCATTATGGTTAGCACACATAGATCAAGAATATGACGATACAATTAGGTTTATTTTAATAGCAGAGCCAGTGACTTCTAGCACGTGGTATTCGGAATGACAAGTTTATAATTTGATTTTCTTTATTAACAATTTAGAATAGGTATGCTTACCTTAATACCTGACTAATAATCGCATACAAATCAGTCAAGCCGTAGGTGAGATTAGCTCTCACAAACGCTCAAATAAAGTGTAAATAAGTGTTTTTTTGAATTTTATTATTTTAGTCTAAAATCTCGCACTTGTACGAGGTTAGTTTGTCCCGTGAGGTGCTAAGTATGTAATGTATACTTTCAGAAATGGCGGTAGATTTAATATATTATGTGTCTGTAATTTTTTATTCATGTAGACTGCTACATGAATAAAGGGCCATTCACGTATTTTTTTTATTCTTTTTTAACCATTCCCCTCCAAGTGGTGAAGTTTAAAACTAACTGCGTATATTTTACTATCTATAAAGTATCTTAGAATTTTTATAATATTATCTTTAAATAGGTACGGATATTAAGTATTATCAAATTTATTTCTATAAAAGTATATCATACATGCCGCTTTTTGGTATAGAAATCGAGAGTTTGACGGAAAAATAAATACATGTACTACAACAACCTCTAACCCTTGTGATATTTCGTGATTATTATCGACCCCTCCCCACTTTTTTAGACGGCTTCTAGATTACATTTGATTTCATTTGTATAAAATTGTGTGCAATAAATAAAAAATGGCGAGGCAAAATGTTAGGACACGAGATACGGCACGATTAATTTATGATTAATTTATTTTTCACATAAATTTCATTAAAAAATATAGCCTATATGTAATTCTGATGTATAAGCTATATTACTGTAAAGTTTCATCAAAATCCGTTCAGTAGTTTAACGTTAAGGAGTAACAAAAAAACCATACAAACTTTCACGTTTATAATATTATTAAGATTAAGAAATTAATGAGACAAAAATACAAGAAATCAGGGGAGGGGAAGACCAAGGCACAGCTACATCAAGCAAATAAAAACCAATATAGGAGTAGTGTCGTACCAACATTTAAGGAGAATGATGGAAGATCGTGAGAAGTGGCAAGAGCTCCACCGACAAGAACGTGGCTCTTCAATTATATATGAAATAAATAAATATGTTCACAGATACTCAACTTGAGGTTGTTACGTGTAGATGTCTAGATATGAGTATTTACATAGTTATTAGCTTATATTAGTCTATGACGTAATTCGGTCTTTTTATATGTAGAATATTTGGTAAACAATAGCACGTCTTTTTATTGAAATGATGCCTGTTTGCATTTATCTTAATCGAGGTGACTTATAATAGTTACCTAAGTGTAACTGTAAAGAAATCTGTCAGCCCCTTCCTAGTTTTAGTCTAAGAACTTGTACTTTTTTTAAGTGATGGTAATCGTATGGTTCACCCGCCTGCGCTAACGGTATACGCTGGCACCAGTGGAGTATGATAGGACGAGCATGAGGTCAGGTCAGTTAGCATATCGTGACAAATTCACCAGTAACTTATAACGATTGTTTCCAGACTGCGTGGAGGTTAACCTGAAATGGTACATTGCAATGGGTAAATAATGATGGTTTGGATAATGGGTTGCCACAATACTAACTATATATATATTTTTGTGTATTTTCTGTATATATTATTGTCTATATATGTCATTGTGACGCGTATTATTTATTGTACCTATTCCCACCACTGCGCAATTCCTCTCAGTAACTCAAAGGTTGACTGGAAGAAATCCCTCTTCTGGGATAAGTCCACCATTGTACGCATTTTTTTTTTCTAAGTCAATTGTGTCCTTTTATTTATAATATTATTGTACAATAAAGTATTACAAACAAACAAACAAACTAACTAACTATCTCCTTCCCCCCAAGTACTTGTATTGAGGCTAAATAGCTAATGAAAATAATTAAATACTCGTCAGTCGAAATTTTTGGACGATTATTGGAACAAGACTGTGTGCTAAATCTAGATCACCCAGGTCGCCAGTATAGTTACTTTATTATTAGGTGTATATTATAATCTAGGAACAATGCACAAGTGGATCCCTAGATGGATGAAATGGATAAATGGACAATTGCAAACAAGTGGATCCCCTATTGTGATTCTCAGCAATTTAGGCCCGTATAAGATATCATGTTACATTAATGTTAATAATCTAAGTACTTTGTACAGAAGATACTATTGGCATTAAGTCGATTAGAAGAAAATATAAAATTATGTACTATATTTTAGAACAAAATGTTTTAACAGTGTATACCATCATTAAATTTTTGCCTACAATTGTAGTCAGATAATAATTATAGCAAAATGTGTTAACCATATAAACCTTAATTTAACTTATCATCTGCAATTGTAAATGATTATAAAAATAGCCCAGAACAATTTACACAGCGTCATCTAGTCCCAAACTAAGAAGAGCTTATAATATGGGTAGTTATCAACTAATAAGTAAAGTTCTATACAACTCATTTTTAAAAAATTCTATACCACTCATATTAGTCAAAGATTACTTAGATACTTCAATTTAAAAAGTTCTATACAACTCATATTAGTCAAAGATTACTTAGAGATATTTTAAAAATTGACTATAAATTAAAATTTGCTATGTACACAAAAAAGATTAAGAATAACTTAGGACTTCAAATAAATTAAATAAATCATACACATCTAAGGCAACACATTATAAAAAATACATCAAGAATATAAGAACCTCTTGAATTTTTTGAAGTCTGGTAAAATAGCTATATTATTCTTTAAAATTGTATTAAAGTAATACACTTCTTTTCAGGGTGCTAGGGACAACCTAACAGATTCTGACTCAGGCTGCGTGTCCCCTGGCTCCCGCATCAAAGACTCCGCATCGCCAGAACTTAAACGGATGGATTCAGGGTACAAATCACCGCATACTCCTAGCAGTCCATGCAATATCAGGCGACAAATGGGCACGCCACATGACGACTTTAAAGAGGACTTTGCCAAGGCACAGGTCTTAGCCGACATTCTAGATAGAAACTCGGAAACCAGTGACTCATTGAAGAGTAATCCCGTTAAGGAGCATTTAGAGCAGATGATTCTTAATGCAGCTTCGGCGGAAGACAGAACGTGTTTGGAGCAAGTCCTGATGTTACTTTATAACTTTCAAGCGTTGAGCAGTTCTGTTAGCGAAGATGAATGCTACCAGGTTTGTATAACTAGCATATTATTTATATTTCCTTTTATTTTTATATTTGACTGTCTATGGAATAATTCCTTTTTAATAAGCCAATATGAAATAAAAGGAGAAAACTATAAAAACTGAATTTGATTTTGAAGAAAACAATGTTTTTCAGACGTTCTATGTAAGATATTTTCTCCCTCTGCTAATTAATTTCATTTGTTATTGTAAAGGTTAATTTCACATTTACTATAACAAAAAGTATTTTTTGTTATTCAGTATTCAGTACTTGAAAACGATTTACTCTTTGGATCATATTGTCATTTATTTGACATTACAATTCAATGACAAATATTTTAGCTTAAATTCTAAAATTATTCTGTATTTACAGACAAAACCGAAAAGAATATGTGATTTGAAACAGAAATCCGAAACTGACATTCCATCGCACAAAACTCAGAAAGCAATCGCTACAGTCACACCTTATCAACAAAAAGGTCTTAAATGTGAGTCGCTCGAGAGTCTGTGTAGCGAAGAAAGGAAACCCAATAATATACTGCAGGAAAGTGGAATCTTCGAAGGTGTCGAAACCGAGTCAAGAAGTACTCAGACTGACGTCAACGAAAGTTTCGAGTACACAGGTGAACTAAACACTGAAATACAACGACTGAATAGTATTAGAGAGAAACTTGAAAGGCAAGGTGTTAGAAATAGGACATTAAGTAGTAAGGAGGATGGCGACGGCCTGGAGTGCAGGTGCGTGAAGTTGGGGAAAAAACATAAACAGTATTATGAGAGGAGGCTAAAGTTTTTGGAAGGAAAGATCTCTATATATGAAGCAGCACAGGACGTTAAAGAATCCAAGTTAGCTCAGAGGTTGCAGAAGGAATTTCTGTTAGAAAATAGAATACAGGTAAATAACTATGTTTAGCTACTCGCTATGGCGAATGAGTCAGCCAAACTTGGCATAGTTTTTTAATGTATAGTATTTAAATAAACGACCCTTTCTAACTTGAAAATTGTTTTAGGATCTCGAATCGCAGCTTTTGGTACTCCAAGACAAATATGAGAGGTTAGAAGAGGAATGTTGCGAATTAGAAGAAATTGAAAATGATACTCGTCTACATTGGCAACAGTAAGTTTACAACACTATTTATAACTGTTAACAAGATTGTTAATAATTGTACACATAGTATAGATGGTACATTTATCTTGATCGTGGTCACCCAATGGTCGAAATTCGACCATAAATATTTATATTATAAAAGTTGAACATTATTAAGGATCTATTATTAAAGACTATACTTCTTTATGTTTTCTTATTGATTATGTATTATTTATGCCTAGTTTTTAAATAATATTAGCATTCTGCAATCCTTAAGTGTGCGAAATTTCATACTCCTTCGTCCGCGCAATTTTCATAAAAAGAGGTATAAAGTTTTTACGCATTAATAATAATATATTGTAATGACTATATCGAGATATTGGGTGTTATATGTTGATAATGTGTTAGGTACATTAGTAAGTTTATTAGTTCACATATGTTTCGGAACCTTGACGTGTTATTTATAAAGTTATTATTACTAATTAGTAGAATGTTACAAAAGACCTTTGTGTATTCATTTTTATTTTTATTACTATTCATAACGTTGTACATTACATTTTTCAATAGTCTCAAGCCATCAACGTTAAGTTAACGTTAACGTTAAGGTTTTATGTACTGTTATTGAAGACTTTGTTTGTTGCAGACTTGAGATGGACTATGAGCTCTGTTCAGCGCAATTAAGAGACATGACGGAGCAGAGGGAATGTTCTAGAGCACAGGCTGAGAGGCTGATGACTGAGCTCTCTAAGAGGGAATGTGCTTTAAAAACAAGAGAAGTGAGTATATTTACAATTCAGATTGAAGTAGTTAATAGTCCAAGAAAGCTGTTTGCTTCTAACATAGAAGCAAACAGCACATAAATAGTATACCTTAACTTACATAATTTAACTTACCTTAATTAATTGAATTTAACTTAATTAATTTAATTTCAGTTAACTTAATTTTATATTCCTGTCAGGTATCTAACTTAGGGATTTATTTTTGTCTAATTGTGAATATAAATTATATAATTACTTCAAATAGATATGCCGGTACATATAGACATGTCTCATTTGTAATTTAAAGCATCTGTCTATGAAATTGTGCCTTACATTTTTTTTCATTTTCTAGAACGAGCTTCTCACAAGGTTAGATAAACTCGAGAAAGCAGTACCAGCGCTGATAGCATGGAATGTTGTGCAAACTATTGGAGCTAGCTTATCTACAGGTGGACAGGTATGATTTGTGTTACTGATGACAATCATTACTCAAATAATAATAATGTGTAACATTTTTTTATAATACACGTAGATATATTATACATAAAGATAGAGATATATATTTTTATAATATAAAAGTTGAAAACAAAATCAAGACATGGGAAACTTAAATATGTATCTAACATAATAAAAAATGGTTTAATAGTGTCTTCATTTCATTTTCAACTTTTAAATTATTGCCTACTACATATTACTTAAGTGTGTATTATGTTATACGAGTCCAAATAAACATTATAGAAGGGTGTAAGGAAATGACTATTCGATCTTAAAAATTCCTTCACCTATAGAAAGAAAAAGGTTATGAAACATATTTTATTAAACAACAATTAAACAACCCTATATTATTAAAAAAAATATGAAATTCTCTATTTATACCAATATTTGCTCTGTGTGGAGATAAGGCGAGTTGCTGGTATTAAAATACAATTAAATTATTTTCTTTAAATATGATGTACGAAAAATTGAGTCCGGTTTATAGCTCTTTCTAATCAAATGTCTATTGAATTGTTGCTGACGTAGTGGCTGCGTAGTTCCTACCTGTGCCCGCGGTTACCTGCGTGAAATATAATGACGTATAAGCTATATTACTGTAAAGTTCCATTAAAATCTGTTCAGTAGTTTTTGTGTGAAAGAGTAACAGACATCCATCCATACTCACAAACTTTCTCGTTTATAATATTATATTATAGTATTAGTAAAATATATTGTAATTTTTACAAATTTTTATTGTTTTTTGTATACAGAACTTTAGTCTACATAATAAAGAATTCTCATAGCACACAACATGAATGTAATATTGTATTATTAATTATTTTCAGCGTGCTCTAATGAACCGAATGTGCTCCTACAGTACAGACACGAAAGCTTTCATATCTCAAGTGAAGCAAGAATCGCACAAAGATGAAACCTGTGGAGCGTTAGTTGTTTGGAATGATATTAACACACTGCCGGCTCCTTCTGTGATGCATTTACAACAACAGATAACAAAGTAAGTAATTATTATAATCTATAGTCTATACCTGATACATTGGATTAAAATAAATCGATTGAAATTTGGGCATGTTAATATTCATGTAGGGTTCATTCAACAAACGTTATAGTATCATAAAACAATGAATTACTGATGGGTAATGGGGTAATTAATGATACACTTCAGAAAAGGTTTCAGCTGTTCTACATGGCTGATATTATTTTTTTATGTAATTGTATTGTCTAGCCAGGGTCTGTATAAAAAAAGATATTTGAGTTATGGTACGAAAAAGTATGTGGTAAGAAATTGTATTAAATATCTTCATAAAAAACATATCAAATCAAATCAAAAGTTAATTATTCATGTTGGACGCTTATGAATGTAAAATATTTCGTATTAATATTTTTCCCTAACGTCCAGTTCAGTATACAGTTTCAATTCATATTCATGACGTGACACATATCTGTACATATTTTATACATTATGTAACGTAACATTTTAAATATATATTTTTCCCACATGCTAAAAATGTATATTATTCCCTTTTCAGACTTATAGGTGAAAAGAAGCAAATAGAAGAACAAACCGCACAATTAAAGAAGGTTCTCGAGGCAAGAATAAAAAATTTGGAGGAAGAATTGGAGACGGCCAACAGGCAAGTTGCAGCTACTTTGTGTGGTGCTGAGGTTAAGAAAGAACAAATAGAAGAGAAGATCCAAGAACTAGAAGGAAAGATCCAAAAAGAGAAAGAAGATGAGAAGGTGAGGAATTTAAATATTTAACAATTTTATTGGTACAGACAGCAACTAATGCTAGAAATCATAATATGTACGATTTCCAGCATTAGTTTCTGGTAAAGAATAGGTTCTAATCGTTAATTATTAATAAAATGTAAAAGTGTGTCTGTTAGTTTGTTATATTTTAACAACTAAACTGCTGAAAAGACCATTTTATAAAAAGCATGAAGAATGATTATATAACGTGGACGGACATACGCTGTGTTCTATCAGTATCAAGAAAACAAGACGGAGTCACGACAAATATAAGGCGCAGTTCTTTAGTAATTCAAAACAAACCAGTATGAAAGAGTGTATGTAGATAGAATCTTTTGATATAAAACATTTAGGTTCGAGAACAGTACACTGTTAGAGTAAACACTGCGTGGCTTTCTACAAGTAAGCTACATTTAATTGGAAAGTACAACTGCAACAAAATAATATACAAACATTTGTAAGCAGTAGGTACGCAGCATCTTTGATGGTACACATCACAACTAGACCGTAATAGGCATGCGAGAGTGTAACACGGAAACTGGCAACCATGACGATTCCTCTGATGAAATCTCAATCAAATTGCTACATGTTGAAAATGTACGCCCACTTAAATCTTACAATTTACTAGCTCTGCCCGCGATTTTGTTCGCGTGGAATAGTGACCTTGACCAAATTGTATTGGTTTGACCAAATAATATACTTTTATGATTGATACTATAAAGATATATTTAATACGTTCTTACAATGACGTGGCTAGAAATGTGAATCTACAATTTGTTTGCAAAACGCCTAGTGTTGTGCCAACATTATTTTACAACTAGTGATGTCCATCTTATAACTAGACTATCAACTATCATAACACAAAGGAAAAATATTTAATAAAGCCAAAGAAAAATGTTTCATCGTTCTAGCTTAAAAAATGACTAATTTCCATACAACTTTTCATTTCGCTATTTTATTTTACTCACTTAAGGGTAACATTTTTAGAAACTTTGAATGTTATATTTATATTTAATCATCAGCGTCAACTCCTGACAATCCTTCTTTCGCATTAAAGTTAGCATTGACCTTTCTCAGGGTCTTGACTATCTGTTTACCAAATTTCATTTAAATAGGTTCAATAGTTTTGGCATGAAAGCGTGACAGACAGACAAAGTTACTTTAGCATTTATAATGTTAGTAAGGATTCATTAATATCTTTTCTTGTCATGGGTACAAATTAGTTCTTATAATGAAATATTTAACACATAATTCACAATCACTTTGTAGACCATGCAAATATAATTGAAATAAACTAGAAATATAAATATCATTAATGTATTATATTCATATCGATGATAAAATTTTTACGCTTTAGTAAAAGTAAAAAAAAAGACTAGTGCATTCTTAAATATACATAGGTCAACAAGATCTTTAATAAAATGATGGAAACTTATTATATAGTCGTGGCGCCGCTACATTCATGCTTTTCATGGAAGCAATGCTCTTTTATGGCTGGGGATACATATTTTACACGAATTTTTTAATGAGTGATTAAATTTTTACACCCCTGTGATTAGCTAGTTAGAATATAAATAAATGGGTATGAAAATATACGATTGTAATCACAGACTATATCATATTATTATTTTTGTCCACAGTTACCTGTCGACCCTGCAATGGGTAGTAAGATCCGCGCTCTGCTGATTAGTGAACAAGATTTAAAGAGCAGGGTAGCGGAACTTGAACGAAGAGAGACAGCGTATCTGGAAATGTTGACTCAAGCGGACGATATGTGGGCAGAAATGGAGGGAGGGTACAAGAAGAAGATTGAGGAATCGCAAGCTACGGAGAGTCAACTGAAAGGGAAGGTAAGTCATCCACGAACATCGGAAGTAAGGCATACTGCCTAAAAACACCCAAACCGTTACATTATACATTACATTTTGAAATACCAATGTTACACGGTTAGTTAACGCTATTATACCAAGTCTAAAGGAAGGGATAGTAGTAACTGAAAAACTTTTCCAAGGAAGTAAAACTGGAAACTCACCGAATTGCATTGCTACGCTCGCCCGCACCTGAGGCATTATTTCTTTTACGCTTAATGCTCATTTTTTCAGACTTTTTGCTCGGTTTCTAATGGTCCTAGTTTTATATTGATTAGCCTTTCTTAATAATAGTTATATAAAATGTAATAAAGTTTTCTAAACATCCGGCTGTTCCAAAGATTAGACAACAAACAAACGCTTCGTATATTTTATATGATAATAAACTAATTAGTTAAATTATAAATTACAGGTCAAAAAGTTAGAATCTGAACGAGATCATTGGAGGAAATGCCTTGAGCCTCTAAAAAAGAAGTTGAAAGAAGTAGAAGAGTCAGAATCGGGTATGCGCGTGGCTTTGGAGAAGGCTGAGAGAGATGCTCAAGTACTCAAAACGCAGAACACTAATCTAGCAGCTATGTTCTCTAAAGCGGATGCCGATGCCAAAAAATCTGAAACGGCATTTAAGAGTCTTGATGCAAAGTTTAAGGTGAGTCCAAATTTTTTTTACATTATATTATATACTACGTAAAACCAGAGATTAAGGAAATGTTATGTGTATATGTTGTTTTTATTCGCATATTTTTGTAACTATTCTTCCATAAGTAGATCATACATAATCATACATCCATAATGTAGATAGAAAAGAACACGTTATGAATCTTATAAAATTGATTGCATTTTTGTGCGTATAAAATACCATTGAAAAAATCAGAAAGTATCAAATTATTGAACATACAATTACTAGCAAAATATGTTCGTTTTATTAACCAAAGCATATCAATTTCTAACTTTCAGCAACCGAAGTTTGCCTATAAAAGTAGACAATAAATTCAAAACCTAATAAAATTTTATTGTTACTTTACAGAAAGAAATAGAACAGCTTCGAAAAGTTAATAGACAATTGGATGATGATCTAAATAATCAAAAAGAGTTTTCGAAAAAGACCGAAGTAGCCTTTATGGGAGATTTGGAGTGTATCAGAAGAGAACTAAACAGAACATGCAAGAATAATCAGGAACTGGAAGTAACGAACAGCGAACTCAAGGAAGAGGTAAATAAATATTTCTATTATATTAAATGTGGTTGATGAATAATAAGAAATATAGCGCAAGATAAATAAGATGTATATATATATTTTTATAACAATTCAATCCTAGAGTTTTTGATAATAATATTAATTGTGGTATTTAGTTGGTTTTGGTTAACTCACTGGAATGTGTAGTTGCTTATTCGCACTTATTAAGAGCATTCACTACCTCTGCATTATCTGCCAGCTTTGAATACTAAGATAAATTGTTTGAAATTTGAGAGTCATGTATTGAATGTTCTTATTGCTTTTAAAGTTTATAACCAGTTATGTTTACTAATACGCATGTTTAAGAAGCACGTACGTTTGTGTCGGTTCGGTTCACGAAAGCGTTGCATGTCGGTATGCTGTTATCTGGTGTTGTGTACATATGCATGAGATGGAAACTGAAGACATTTTAAGAAGAAATGTGTTCCCAGGTTGAATCTCTGGAAAAGCAGTTAGCTCTGACGCAGAAAGCTTTAACGCAGTGCAAAAGAAAGTGCGATGAAAAATTAAAGACAATAAGTCACGAGCTGTCGATTAAAACTGAGGAGTTAGAAGAAATGAGGAGCGAATCTATGAGGCAGACCTACCATGCGTCTCGGGTCGAGTTGAAACCGGAGAGAACCGAATACGTAGACGAAGGATACTCGATATACACCGCAGTACCCAAAAAAATTGATTACGGAAGAATGCACCATAGTATGAGCTACATAACGTCCGATACGCGTTGTTCGTGTCCGTCTATGAGGAGCCAACTAGTCAGCCAACTGATCGAAGATTTGTTCGAACGGATCCACAACACAGTTGACGATGATTTGACGAAGTTATGTAAAGAGATCTCTCCGTTGGGTAGAGAAGTGACTGTTGAAACCAAAGCGAAAATCACAAATTACCTCTTAATGGCGATATCTAAGGAGCTCGTTAGGTCTATTGGGGACGCCGATGCTAAGACTGATACAGAGGTTAGTATATATTTGTAATATTATCTCAAAATATTAATATAACTACATAATATTGTGACTAAAATTCTAATGTCAGCTGCATTAGATTCTTTAATCCGTAATGTTTCTGATATTACTAATTTTAAATGATACAACAGGTTATGGTTTTAAAAAATGAGTATATTGATATATATAAATTTATGTTTGTATACGCGATTTTTATATTTATTTCATATTTTATTTAAAGACTGATACAAAGAATATCTAAAAGTACATCAGTTGAGTTTCTTGTCAGTTCTCAAGCTGCAGCAACTACTGCAACCTGGACGGTAGAAACGACTTACATCGATTTTCAGTTGACTTGTGTGTTATGAATCCTGATGTGGTTTGTAGGAGTGGCAGCGCGCGGCGTCGTCTGTGGCGCAGTCGGAGGGGAGCGCGGGTATAGGTGCGGGTTCGGGTGCTGTTGACGGCAATGCGGGAGTAGTGCGCGGTGCGGCTCGACTGGCGAGCGTAGCATGCGCATGTGCAGCCGCCCGACTGTGCGCCGCACTGCCGCACCTCGCAGACCGTGTTAACCTCTGCCAGCAGGTAATGTTGCTGCCGAGCTGCTTATGGTCGCGGGTTCGATTCCTCGGCACTTATTTATTACGCCACCGACACACGCGCCACAACGCGAATACTTATTACGCCAACCCCAAATAAATGGGATAAGCAGATGATGATAATGATATCATGTGATGTTTCCAACATTTATTAATGAGTGTTTTTTATGTATAAGTATGTATTTATAAAAAAATGTTTCTATTTATATCTGCAGTCTAGTACCCATAAGCAGAGCTTCTGCTTAGTTTATAATACTATAATTAGGTATATTATATTACTAGCCGACCCAGTAAACGTTGTTTTGTCATAAAAATTAAACATTCAGAGTATAAACAATAAAACTCATAAAATACAAATTTTATTACCGTGCGAGGAATCGAACTAGCCACCATCGGAAATAAATCGGTGTTCTAGACCACAAAATTTACCTTCCTACCTGAATTCTAAAGCCCCGTAGTATGTAGTGTCTCTTCGAATAATCGATAAAATGTAAATATGTAATGTAATATGTTTATCTTCATGAGACGTAACATTTTTATATCATTTCAGGAAGTCTTGGATCATGGCGACGTTAAGATTATGGAGGAACAATTAGCAAATGCCATTGAAAGTATAGTTGTAAGTAATCTATATTTTTTATTGATATATGCCTGTAATAATTATAAGTTAGCATCTTAGGCGCCATGTGCATCTTTTTGTCACACAGTGTCTGGAACACTGTGTATTCAAAAGTATACACAATACAATATCTTTCTACTTAGTAATCGCGCTGTGTGTCCTTTAGGAACACACTGTACATATTATGACTATTACACATTTTGTCGCATTTTTCGATGAAAATGGTTTGGTAATCAGTAATTTTACAAAAATTAAATCTTTTTTTTAAAACGGTGATTTAGGGTCTGGCGCTGAAGGTGTTAAGGATATATGTACCTAATGGAAAAGCGCTAAAGGATATCAATATTTTTTTTATAGCGAAGTAATATCTGTCGATTTTTGTGGCGACATTTGACATAGACCTTTTGGTCTATATTGTATTCCTATTTGTGTATTCCTCAGTTTCTTTTTAGATACTGGTGATAAATTAATGTTAAAATAGTGATCCATCTAATTTAGCCCATATTCTGCATAGTGGTCTACAGTGAAATTATTGGTTTTGGGATATAATTAATAATTAGTGGGATCGATTGTCCTTGGCGTTACTCTCATAAGTTTTTTTTTAAACACATTACATCATTAATATAATTAATGTAATTTTAATTTGCAGAATTGTCCATCTTGTGCGTTGGGTACAAATGCGATAGTTTGGAGCACGGATGTCTAATGCAGCCAATCGTGCAAAGTTATGTATGTATCCATACATTTGTATGACTATTATTTAGTTGTAATATATCTTTTTTTTTTACCTTCGGCATATGCCCCTGCGATGAATTATGTATGTTATTAGTAATAATTCAATTTTATGACAAAGAAACACTCTTTATCTTATATACCACCAAAAATAAAATTAATTGTCAATAATGTCTTTCTGTGGTCTAGAGGTTTAATACACCGCTTTACTTCCGATGGTCGCTGGTTCGATTCCTCGCACGGTACAAAATTTGTATTCAAGAGTATGATTGTTTGTATCGGTCTGGGTGTTTTCGATGTATTATGTATGTATTTACAAAAAATCGAAGTATTATGTAAGTTGTCTAGTACCCATAACACAAGATTTGATTACCGTGGGACTAGATGGCGCTGTGTTAATTGTCCAAGGTTATTTATTTAGTTATAATTCGGAAGGAATGTTTGGTGAACGTGTGTTATATTTTGATTTTGCTTGTTCCAGATGTAAACCTCCACCGACCTCACTCTGGTGCCTTCATTAGTATAGCCAGTATATTTACGAAGTGTAAATAAATTTGTATAATAACAATACTCTTTAATAATAACTATAAGCGAAACATATCGAACAATCGTACCTACATTTCGAATATAAGAATTTTATATTTTTTTCGACGTGTTTTAAATATTAATATAAAATTTTTATTTGTTTAATTGTTTAAACTCATCGTTTCCGTGCCAACTGTTTTTCAAATAGTATGTAAATAGATGTTTCTATTTTGACGAATCAATGTTAATTTTATCTAACATCACTCACAAATTAGAAATTTGTAATGACTACTTTGTATAGTATTAAAAATGTTTTAATTTACGACAAAATGATTTCATTGAATTACAATGTGTATTTAATTATATTGTGTTTTTCTTACACTTCCATTACACACATTTTACCTTTGTAAATCCTTACAATTTACACATTTTTTATCGTTTATATATTGGAGTTGATGATAATGCAACAAGACTTTTTATTTAACAGTTTCTTGCAGTTTGTAGTTTAGCATAAAAATGAAATTGTTATTACCTAATAATATGAACGTAAAAGTAAAATGTTTATCTGTTGCATTTTAAATTTTGACTCCATGTTTTATAAATACAATAAATAAATACTTTATTTCCACTTAGATTTTGAATCCTTCAATGTTTAATAATAAAAATAGTAGCTTAGAAGCTGTTGAGATGAGCGGAATGAAGCAAATTCATATCCACATTATTAAATGGACGTAGATTTAGAATAGCAATAGTAGTTGCATATTGTATGGAATGCATATTGTATGTAAGTATAGCTGTTCAGATAATGAGTCTGCATTTTTGACAATACCTAATAAATAAAAAAAATTGCATTAAATAGACAATAAAAAAGTAAATTGTGTTAATCATTAATCAATCAATTCCAAATAGTAATCGCTGATTGTCACAACATCAAAATGAATCTAAAATAGAATGGTATTTTAACAATATAATTTTTATTACCTATGTGAGTATATATAATGGTTTCGGTTAATTTAGATTTGCATATAGTTTATTTCCCGAAGTAGAACCTGTAATATAGTTAGAAGAGACAGTACTTGTCTACATATACTATGTCACGGTTGTTTACAATTGTTCTAATAATAATATAGGGATGATGGTTTTATTTATTAATAATAATATCAGGAGCTCAAAATGATCTTATATTGGTAAATATTTCTTTATTATTTTTTATTGCACAATAAAATTGTATAAAAGGTGGCGATCTTAATGCCATTCTTTAGCAGCTAATCTTTAGAATTTAATTCTAAATAGAGCTAGAGCTAATTCTAGGTAGAAATAGAAAGCGTTGTAGGGCAATGATGGCGAATAACTGTAACAATAATACTATATTATAGATAGGGGATTAGTCAGAAGTAAGGGTTTTAAATATGACTAGTAGTACTAAGATTTTGTTTTCTTATAAGTATTAAACATTTGGCGAAACTCATATGCAACCATCGCCATCATATAAGGACAGGATGTAATTCCTTTAATCAGAGAATACTTTTTCTATTACAGATCCTAGATTCATCAAGTCTATGCTGCCGTAGTTTAAAATGTATCGTGCAATCTAAACCTTCCAAAGAAGAATCACCAAGACCAAAAAAACATCATTGTGTTTACGGAAGTAAACCATATTATTAAATTAAAATAATTAAGATAAAATATGAATATGGAACAATCTCAGCATAAAATAGAAATTAATTCTGATCCCGAAATTTTGAATCCATCCGATTGCTCCTGCATTAATTGTGATACTGTGCGTTGTTTTACAAAATTTACAAACCAAAACCGAATTACAGATAAGAGTTCACGTGAAAAATACAAAAAATCAAAAATATCCTTGAATCTTTCCAACCAAAGAACAGATTTTATTGACAGCAAATCTGTTTTGACAGAAAATGTTTCTAACCTAGTAAAAAGTGGCGAAAAACCAAAAATATTATTAGATGATATTTCTAGCATGATAAAAGATGACAAAGACCTAAAAGTGTCTATAGAAAAGAAGGAACAATTCAGAAAAGAAATTAATTATGAACACAATAACATTAATACCCATATAACGGAAAAAAAGTCTAAGTATATCTATAAAATTACCAAATCAAAAGATAAGATTAATAAAAGTAATGATGTTAATGAGGGGCCTGCTCAAATTCGTACAGTTTCTGTAACTTACTCTCGTAGAGAAATAAGTCCAAACACTGCACATTTAAGTGCTGACATAATGAATTTGCCACTCAAAGATTTCAAGGAATCGATTTCTATTAATCCCACTGCGAGTCCATCATGTAAAGTAATAAAGAAACTATCTAAATACGATATTTTTAAGCGTATAAAGGAAGCTTATAATGCATGTAGGTGCAAAGTCTGCGATTGCATTGTTGGCACATCTTTACTAAATAGTAATCAATGTAAATGCATTCCTTGTGAATGTAAAGATTGTACAGATTTCATGAAAAAACTTAACGAGAAAATTAAAAATGTACCACCTAATGGATGCGCTTGTATTCGCTGCGATAGAAGTCAATGTAAAGGAATCGTAGATGAAGGATTTCAAAGTTGTGACTGTATGCGGTGCACCAACAATCTGTCTAAACCTTGTGACTGCATACCCTGTGACTGTTTAGAATGTAGAGCAGTGACTGAAAATAAAGCTAATACTATAGTGGTAGCACCAGTAGGAGAAGATTATCAAAGCAATACATGCCAGTGTTCTCCTTGCCAATGTGCAGAATGTGGACATGGCTTTCCATTATCTACCAATTTAATGCATGAGATGTCAACAGATATGAGTAGACATATAAATTGTCGTTGTGAGAATTGTATTTTGCAAACGTGTGGAGCAGACGACAATGATGATTGTATATGTGATAGAATGAATAAAGTTATGAAGAAACCAGTTCAAAGAGATTCACATGATTATGATATTAGGTGTGCCTTAATTAATACTATAAAGCCAGCATTAGGTCCTATAAGTAAGCGTCCAGAAACCTATAATAAAATTGCAATGTTTACAAATAATTTTCCAGGATTAAATACAGACCTATGTAGTTGCGATGAATGTCAGTGCATATACTGTAAAAATAAACACAAAACTGTGACAAAAAAATGTACTACTATTAATCCTGTTAAAAGAGCAAGTTCAGAAAATTATAACTCAATGAATATGTACATGACTGGTGAGTGTCCTGAATGTAAGGAAATGTTGAACTGTAGGGGGGATGTCTACAACTGTGTGAGCTGTAAGTGTGAAAACTGTATGGCTTTAGTGTCGCTTAAGATACTAAACTCTGATAAAGCAATACAATATGATTTATATGAACGATTTCATTCCAATGATAAGAAACTGAATTTTATTTATGGGAGTAATATTATGACTACTGGCAATTATAAGCAAAGATTTACAAAAACTGAAAGTTATATTTTAAAGTATGATGTTTATAGTCAATGTGAAGACAATTTCAGAAACCCAATTTTCAAAAAGAAAAACAATATGAGTTACCAAGTATCAAATTGCATATCTAAAGAAGAAAGAAACCAATTATTTAAAAAAGCTTTTATACATCCTTCATTTATAAGTTGTTGTAATAGATCAACCTATGATAATGCTAATTATTTAATCAAATTACCAAAAACTACTGCTGAAAATTGTCTTAATGACGTCAAGAAATACAGTTTGAATAGAAATTACAATTTTAATGGGCTTAATATGATTAGATCAGGCATGGAATATACCAATCATATGAAATTGTATAAAAATAATGAATTCTCAAATAATAATAAAAAAGTTTACTTAAACAGTTTATGTAAATCTACTGATCAAATTAAAGTACAAAATAATGTCCCAATAAAAGCAAAGAAACTTAAAAAACGAAATGATATCTTTTATACTTTTTCTGATATTTTTTATTCATCTATTTCACAAGATTTTAATATAGTACAAATAGGGAAAAAGAATAATAATACAGATTTATTTAATGAAAAGAAACACAATGCATTATATAATGAAGGAGCTATTATTTCAAAACCCAATGAACCTAAGTCCAATAACACGAAAGTTAAGAATTATATTGATTATGAAAGGGTACAGAATATATTAAGCGAAGCTACGGCTTATTCATTAGAGTTAATGAAGATATTACAAAAATATGAGACAGCTAACAGAGAATTTCAAAGTATATCAGAAAAACTCAAACAACACAGTAACACTACAAGTTATATTTATCAGCATGAAACCTACGAAACGGAAGATAAAGATATTAATAAAAATAATGAAATAATAAATATAGATAAAAAGTTTTTCAGAATACATAATATAATTGATAATAATAAAGAGGATCTGAATTATAATAATAGCGCTGATGATAATATAATAAATGAGTTATACTTACAGGAAGATATATTAGCACATAATACTGAAATTGACAATAAAGATAATATTAAATTATTGAGACAATTTGAAGATACAAAACATATTATTATGAAAAGTAACTCTCAAACATTAAGTGCAATTTTAAACTGTAAGGACGAACTTGTCAGTTCTGTATCAAATAAAAATAGCTTTATAAGACACAATAATGACATAGTTACAATAAATGAAACAGCAGCTGAATTGTATGGAACTGAGGATCATTCTAACTCCAACCTAGCGAAAACTATGCCTACGAAAACTAATTTAGATGACAAAGATACAAAATTGAAGAATACTGAAGAGAAAAAGATTGAATTTGCTGGATATACTGTAAGTATAATTATGTATTAATATATTAATATTAATCATTCACTGGAATGATTAATATTAATATATTAATAAAGTAGACTTATGCAATTTCAGAAAAATAAAAATATTGGGTCTAAATCATGGTCAGTCTTAAACAAAAATGTTGATTTGAATAGAAATTCTAGCTACAAACAGAAGGACATCTGTGTTTTCACGTCTATAGAAACGCAATATGAAGAAGTCTTGAAATCAGTACACAGCGAAATAAAAGAGCCAAGGAAAAATGAAGCTGCATCTTCATATGAGAACGAAGCTCTGGTATATAAATGATATGTATTCTATTAAACAGTATTTTTAATGGATGATAATGGTATAATCATGGTGGTGCACCCACCTGCGCTAACGGTTTGCGCTGGCGGGACACCAGTGGAAGATGAAAAGATGAACATGAAGTAAGGTCAGTTACCCATCGTGAGAAATTTATCAGGAACTTGTCACGATGTTTTCTAAGAGGAACTACGTGGAGGTCAACCTGACATGGTCCATTGCTAGCAATGGGGTCATTAGTCCACAATTTTAATAATCCTCCCCCCCCCTCTTTTCATAGAATACCATTATAAGTTGATTATAACCCGTAATTACACTGGAAGTGTCAAAAGTAAGTAATAACGTATGTAGTCGGTTCTTTCAGGCAAAATTACAAAAGGATGTAAAAAAAATATTAGATTCGCCAATATTTCAAACTATGAATATCATAACATTCAAATCTGATACAAGCACCCAAACATTAAAGTTATTTCCAAAGGTATGTATACGGGAATCGAAATTACGACGGCTGAGGTGAGGTTCGAACCCTTTGCGGTGCCCTCAGACTAAAGTAGTATTCGTCAGGTGGGAGTTGCCCTTCAGCCACTCCATAAGTCCTTCCGCGGGTTTGGAGTGCCATCTGCACTCGCCCCTATCGTCCGGTGAAGTTGTAAAGGTCAGCTACGGCCAACAGCATTAGAGTAGTCCAAAAGAAAAGTATTCTATAATTAAGTCAAAAGATTTTCCATTCCATTTCCATTACATTATAGGTGAAACAAAAGATTGGAACCAAATATTATACGCCAGCGTCAACACAAACATACCACTGTGTTACTATTAGTGTTGAAAAAGAAATGAACTGCCCTAGCACCACGGTTAGAAACCTTTGTTAATTTTGTTAGTTAGACCCTTCCAATAGTACCTCTCTAGATAACATAGATTTAAATTAAAACTCAATCCGCATTACAACTCCGCGTCGAATGTATCAGCCAAACCAAATAAACTTACTATTGTACAATAAATGGTACAATTATTTTACCGGTATACTGGTAGTGAACCTAGAATAAACAATAATTATCTATGAACATAACGCTACATGCAATACAATGCAACCACAGGCTACGGTTACTGTTTACCAACAGATGGGTCGTGTCGTCATTCATTGCCTCCATAAAAAACATCACGCTACGACCAATAGGAGCGGAGCTGCAGTTTTTTTTTTATTTTATGGATGATAATGGAATGGTGCACTCGCTTACGCTAACGGTTTACGCTGACGGGGCACCAGTGGGGGATGATAAGATGAGCATGAGGTCAGGTCAGTTAGCCCATCGTAACAAATTCACCAGGAATTTAACTCGATGGTTTCCAGGGGGAACCACGTGGAGGTCAACCTGACATAGTACATTGCTAGCAATGGGGTCATCAGTCCACATTACTAACAATCCCCTTCCCCCTGCGGAGCTGCAGTTAAAATGTTCCATTTAAACTCAGTCTTTAAGTAACAATTTAAGATTAAATATTTCAATAATATTAGTGTTCTATTGTGTGGAGCAGTGGTAAATGTTGTTATATGAGATGTCCATGATCATGTGTTCGATTCTCGGTCGGTCACATAATACTTGAACTTTTGGAAATTAGTCTCCGGTCGTGTTATATGTAGTAACGTCAATATTCTTAAATATAATATTCTTAAATTTATAATTTTTGTTTTTATGCAAAATATCCAGGAATCCAAAAGCATTCACGATGCACTGAAAGTGAGTTTCCTTGGACTGAGAAGAGTTTCGGATCACACAGTTCGCGTGAAATGGAACGTACCTCAAAATATCTCCGATGTATAGGGGATATGAGGTTATATCTATATATCTTTTTAAAAATGCGCTAACGGTTTACGTGGACACCAGTGGAGGATGATATGAGGGCAGATCAGTTAGCAAATCGTGACAGAAACTCATCTCACCTGCCATCCTTTTGGTGTTGCTGGTGTTCATGGGCGGCAGTAATCAGTTACCATCAAGTATACCGCACGCTCGTATACCCCTATGCTATAAAAAATTCGTCGAGAAATCTTTAGTAAATCATTAGGTATAAAAATCTTTAACACAGTCGACTGTCTGAAGATTTTTATACCTTTAAATTGAAATTTATTAGCATATAGGTTTTGTTACTATATTTCAGTTGCTAGTCGACGGTCGTGCAGTGCAGAACATCTTCAGTCCATCAAGGAGCATGGCAGTTGTCACGTGTTTACCTCACAGTGATAAAGTGTTACTCAGTATAAGAACTATCACATCATCGTCACTGACCACTATCCAGCCAACACCATAGTCTACCGTCCACGCATCAAGTAAATTAATGCTCATAATAAATTCAAAAGGTATACTTAAATATCTGAAAATAAACTTAATGATATACACATATATTGGTTTTATTAAGATGCTAGTTGTATGCCCCGGGTTCGCTGGGGTACTCACGGATGTATATTATAATATCTTATACTATATTGATATTGTGACATTGCGGCCTCGTGCATTCTTCTGTGCGTGCCTGTACTGCTTTTCAGTTTTCAATAGGGCTGTGCAATACATTTTTTTTTCAATAGTATTAAATTGTAATTCTTGTAATATTTTTTTAAATAATAATCTCAGGGCAATTCACACAGCGCCATCTATACCAAGATAAGCTAGCTAAAGGTTGTGTTATCGGTACTAGATAACTGTAGGAATTATTAATTGGTTGAATTATTTTAAAATAATAATACCATAAATCGATGTTGACGGGACGTGTATTTTATGAAGAATGAAAAATAATATTTACATAGGTTATAAATTACGAAGCGCCTAAAATAACTTCTTATTATTAATATATATTAATATTGCATAGTGACGACCTCGGTGGTCTAGCGGTCTAACATACCGCTTTACGTCCGATGGTCGCGGGTTCGATTCCTCGCACGGCACAAACATTTGTATTCATGAGTATGATTGTTTGTGTCGGTCTGGGTGTTTTCTATGTATATTAAGTATGTATTTACGAAAAAAAAAATATCTATGTATTTGTATCAGTTGTCTAGTACCCATAACACAAGCTTTAGCTAGCTTAACTTGGGTCTAGATGGTGCTGTGTGAATTGTCCTGAGATTATTATTATTATTATTATTATTCTTTATTGTTGCTAATAGAGCGTTTCTGGCGTAAACAATAACTGATAAATAGAAAACACCCAGACCGATACAAACAATCATACTCAATACAAATGTTTGTGAGCGAGGAATCGAACCCACGACTATCAGAAGTAAGGTGGAGTGCTTAACCGCTAGACCACCGAGGCCGTCATGCTTGACATGTTACAAGTCGGACTTATTTCTAAGCAACAATCTTCATCACTATGTTATTTTTTATTTGTTTATTCTTTATGGAAAGACAATATAAACACTTTAAAAAGAAAACAATGTCACGGCCCTGACAGTCAGTATTAAAGATGTCTTGATTATAGATAATCACGCAAAGGATTGGTTGTTTGGGATGTAATCAAAATCAGTTGTGAAAATATGATTTGTTTTGAAAATGAATAGAAATCAACGCAGATTCGGTAGGCTTCCTCCGAAACGGAACGATAACGAAGGGAAAGTGAAGGTTTCTAAGACTAAACATGGTCCTGAGTTGGAAGAGGTCCTATCTCCGAAGAGAAAACGGATTTTCTGTAATACAGAGAAACCTACGAATGATAGGTGCTGCTACTTCAGTCCGGATCAGAGAGACTTTGGTCAGCTGACGGAAACTGATCGAAGGAGTGACAAGGTTAGGTATTGTTTTTAACTTTCAACAATAATATAAACAAAGTGTAAGTTTCGGGACCTGCTTGTATTAAAATTAAAAACTTTGGACAACTCACACAGCGTCTTCTAAGCAGAGCTTGTGTTAGGGGTACTAGACGACTTGTATAAATACATAGATATATTTTGTGAAAAACACTAGGACCGATATAAACAATCGATTGAATACTGAATACCACTGTTGCGGTTCTTACCGTGCGAGGAATCGAAACCGCGTCGGAAATCGTGGAAGTAAAGGGTTGTGCTAAACCACTAAATCACTGAGGCCGGAGTTTATATTAATTCATAATATTGTTTTACATTTATGTATTCATTTTATACTACCCATAACACTAGATCAGCTAGCTTGGGACTAGAAGGCGCCTTCTGAATTGCCCTGTTTTATTATTTTTATCTTTTATTACAGCAGTACAGCTTTTATCCTGAGAAACTTGACGATATTGGTCTGGTGAAGCAACTGGAAAACATTATAAATAATAAAAAACTTGAGAACAGTTCTCAATATGCAAATTCAGAGAAAAAACCCGCGGTTCCTGCTTATGTTAAGACTACAGATGGATCTCATTGGCAGAATATAAATAGCACTAATGAACTTGATAAATTCATACACGAGAAAGGTATTTTTTTAACAAAATTCACAAATGAAATTTAAATTTGATTGTAATTTTGGGTGGTTGCTTTTTTTCCTATGGGGATTGAAATTACGAGAGCCCGAGTAAAGGTTTGAACCCCTAACGGTTTTCTCAGACTAAAGGCTACTAAGGACTATACTTGACAGTAGTTACCTAAAAATAGACTAAATAATATGCTCAATGAATCTTGCAACTCAGCCCGGAAATGCTGAGTTGAGTGGGAAACTTTGGGCCGGGTACGAGACAGGTTAGTTGATAATGTCATTAATACAATAATATTTTATTGTAAGTACCTGTCCCGGTAAATGTTTTATTACATGGATGAATATTGCTCTTTAAAAATAGGGGTCGATGGTAGAGGAGTGAAAATTTAGGGTTGTATGTATTATTTAATGCCAAATCATAAATGTGTCAATAAAATATTTTTTTTTGGGTGGGTCACCCTTATGTGATATTAAAAATAGATAACAACATATTCTCAGACCTACCGAGTATACTTATAACATTTCATCAAAATCGGTTCAGTAATTTACGATTCCACCCCAGACAAACAACGTGACAAGAAATTTTTATATACTAAGAATGTACTATGACTATTTAAAATTAATGTTAAAGTAAGATAATTTTTTATAATAATTATTTTAGAAAAAGTTATACCAAAACAGTCGTTACAAAGCATCCACATATCTGAAGTTCCACGAATAAAGATAATTGCAGAGAAGTTCTCGAAGTGTAAGACGAATAATATAGAATTGAGGAAACTGGATGAGAAGGTGGTGTGCGTGGAATACGACATTTACACAGGAAACAATATGCTGAAGCCACGGCAGACTATGCGAGCATTCTTCTCCATAAAACCGGCATGTATAAACCAAGAAGAGAAAGGTAGATATATGTATTACTTGTATTTTATCGTCCATTCTAAAAAAAAACTATTACAAAAAAAACTATCGAATATCTTTAGTACAAAGAATATAATAAAAATAACCTTTTTAATATCGAACACGTTACAAAAACAATAGGTTTCATTTACAAAAAGCTTGTTGAGACTATATTTAAATGTAATTTAATCGACTTCAATAAGTAGAAGGGTCTCTAATCATCTGTATTTTTTTCGGAGTTCTCGTATAGGTTCCACAGAACTCCGTTATTCATATAATTTCCACAGTATATGAAAAAAAAAATTAACTGACTATAGGTACTTTTGCAAATTCTTTAAATATAAATTTCATAAAATTGGTGTAATGATTAAAGTTAAATGGTTATTAATTGATTAATTATATTTTATTAGTTTTTCCCGCATGAAATTTATGGTCTCTGTGTTATTCTGATATATACCTAAGCTATATTACTATAAAGTCTAACATCTATCCATCTATACTCACAAACTTTCGTTTATAATATTAGTAAGATTCAATGCCTGACATTTTGGAGTAACAACCGATCATGCGCGACCAATATTAATTGGTTGGCACCTAATTTAATGATATTTATCTATTACTTTCACATTGTACAGAAAACGCAGTACCCTCAACAATACCTTCAAAGATAAAGCACACGTTCAATATAGCAGACGAAGATTTAAAACACTTGAACGACAAAGAAATAGAAATGATTGACGGAAACATAGTCGAGAACAAATCTTACTTGGACGATCTGAAAAGAATATTAAAGCGTAATCAAGTGACAATGGCGAAAAAGAGCAAACCCTCGTTAGATTTGAGGTCTTTGTACGAAATGGCAAAAAAGCAAATCATTCCTTTAACAGACTTTACAAATAGTAATCTCCTATCGAGCGCCGAATTGGAAGAGATAAAAGATTTGATTTTAAGAAACTGTACGTCAAGTGTACATGGCATAAGGCGGCGGACAGTTAAGAGCGATGCAGAATCAGAAGTGTATAAAGAAATAGGGGTCCTGTCACGTAGCCTCATAGCAGAGCTGATGAGAGAGGATAAGAATTGAAAACACCGTCACAGCTTTTATTAGCCCATTCCTTCCCACTATCCTATTTTTAGGACACTACATTTAATTTTTTTTTCCCAACAAACTATGTATTTATACTATAGATACTAATGAAATTTGTATTTTAAAATATTTTTTTTTGTAGTAATACATATTTACGTCATTTTAATACATATTATAACTTTTTTTAATGTATTAAGACCTTAATCCTATTACATAGATGCTTGGAAAGTAATGGGTTAACCTATAAGTAATATTGGCATCAACAAAAATAGAACTGTAATAGCAACTGGTACAAATTGACTGGTGGAGTAAAAGTACTGGTAAAACTATAGTAAATAAATAATTTCAGTTATATATATATCCAACAACAGCTGAGTTTCTTATCAATTCTTAGAATGCACTCCGGACGATATGAGTCTGTAACTTTCTGTGCTGAAAAAGCAGCAGTTACCTTTAAAATTTGGAATTGTCATTTGTAAATGCGATCTTTTCTATCGTTAAAATACCTTTGTTTACCATAAAATTGTTCGTGTTAGGACAATATAACTATTATGTATTAAATACGAAAGTTTAAAAGTAAGTTTGTCTTGTTAGTAACTGCCAAAAGTCAACATGTGAATTGCTATTTTAGTATGGTTTTTATTGCTTTTTTATTGTTCTCAGGTTAACCTAAATGGGCGATTGGTAAGATATTGTCGACGTCGTAGTGGACGCAACATTTATAAGAATACCTTAGAATAAACTGCGTTCTTTTCGTTTCATAGATTTATTTATGTATACCTATATATTATATAGGTACATAACAATTGAGATAAAAACAATTTTTAGATAACAAACATTTTGTTGTTATACATACGGTAATTTTTCGTTAATATGTATATAAACATATTGAGAACTTATTAATTATTGCAAGAAGTTATAACACTATGGCGTACTGTTTATTCGCATTTTTCATTTTTTGTTGTTCATTAGCCATTATAAGTTGGGTCACTTTTTTCCATTTTCCACAGTCTCTGGATTGAAAGAAGGATCTAAGCCGAGCCTTTTCATTTCTACCGCCATTTCGAATAAATAGTCGTAGCATTCGGTCCTGTAAATGATAAACAATACACTTAAATAGCTAACTAGCTCTTTAATTATATTTTGCTTTATTATATCTTATGCATATATTAATCATGTAGGTAAACGTACATCATATTCTACACTAAATACATTAATTTTAACTGAAATAATACTCATTAAATAACCAATTCCAACTCAAATAAAAAAACACCTCAACAAACAAATTAAACTCCAATATACCCTCGATTTCGCAGAGGAAAGCGAAGGTATACCATAAGAGCAAACATGGTAACAATAAGAGATACTAAAAATGGTCATTTAATGCAGTTTTCAGTAATAGATAGTGATTCAAGAGGAAGGTTTGTATGTAATAAAATAACAAATAAAAATTACATAAATCAACGTTCCAGACCAATTATTGACATTTTAAAACGATATACCTTTCAGTAAATGTATTGGATTATGACTGTTGTGAATATAAGGAGGTTGATAGCATACACCCTCAATAAAAACAATAAAATTGTACACTTACATAGTCTTGGCCTGTTGCCATGTATCACCCCACACGTAAACTCCATGTCTCCTGACCAGCACTGCACTAGTTCCTGGGTAATTACGCAGCGCCTCACCCAAGCTGCCAGCGAGATCCTTCTCGAACGGAGTATTTTCTATAATAGGTACTACCAGCTTCTCATCGTATCGGAGATAACGACCAAGCTTCGCATCTTTGATGCCCTGAAAGGTTTGAAAAAATATTCTTTATGTTGTGGTACACTTATCATAACATTAATACGTGAAAATAGTACCACATGATATTGACCTGTTTTGTTCCAGCACTGCCTCAGTTAGGAAACTCATATGTAACCAATTCTTTAACGGTACATAGCCGTACTTTATTTGTGTATTCTGTGGATACATCGCTACTTGTGGGTATGTTGGTCTATTTACTTGTACTGTATAACTACAACTGAAACACTGTCACGTGATTACTTCAATATGTTAAAATTGGCTAATGAAAAATTTAATCTGGTAATACTATTGGCGAAGATTATTAATTGGCATAGGACAATTTTATATGACAAGTAACATGTAAAATTACACCGTTAATCTTCCTAAATAAATAAATAAATAAAAAAAACTATGTGCCTCTTTTTACGAAACTTGCGCGGATGGAGTAGTATGAAATTTCCCACACTTGTTGTTTATATAGAGAGTAAGTGCAGAATGCTATTTTTTTAAATACAATAAATTATTAAAAAAACACGCATATATACTGAGTAATAATTATACAATTAGTAGATACAATGTCATAAACTTTTTTACTTCTTCATCACAATCCTCTAAAAGACGTCGCCTGTCTAGAACTGCAGTAAGTGGTATATTAGAACGTGTATCTAAAGCTGTACAAGCAGGTTCCTATTGGATTTGTCTAGGCAGGGTTCTCCACTCCAACTCCACGCGGTTCCCCGTGGAAACCATCGTGATAAATTCTTGGTGAATTTGTCACAATGGGCTAACTAACCTGACCTCATGCTCATCTTATCATCTTCCACTGGTGCCCCGCCAGCGTAAACCGTTAGCGCAGGCGGCTGCACTATTCCATAATCAACCATAAAAAAAAATGCTACGAAATTCGTCTCTGTTAACATGCTTATTGCTAACCTTGATCATCTCTTGATGAGTGATGGTGAACTCTTTGTCGTAGAGTAGAGTAGCGCGGACGGCGTGCGGTGAGTGTGTGTGTATGACAGCGCCAGCGCCGCGCTCGCGGTATGCCAGCATGAACAGTGGTGTGCATTGACTCTTCTTCAATCTGAAAATGTACGAAAGTAAAATTACAATTATAAATATTATTGCCTAATTGAACAAAGGAGAGTGAATTCAGATATGACAGTTGATGGGGATCAGTGGAAGATGTGCGCAACCCCAAAAAAACTAAATATATACTGAATAATATATCCGATATACATTTAAAAGAAAACAGTTACAGTCAAAAGAAATCAAAAGAATTTATTCATGTAGGACATTTTAATCTCTTAAAAACAGTCAAGTTTTTTTTCTATTTAATAATAGTTTTCCCTACCGTCCAGTTCAGTATACAGATTAAATTCAGAAGAACTGACAAGAAATTCAACTGAATTTCTTGAATTTTAAAAGGCAGTTTATATACATTGCATACTTATACATATAGGTGTCTAAGTCTAAATAATAAGGAAAGGGGATTGTTAGTAATGTGGACTGATGATCTTATTGTTTAGTACAGTTTTATGTATTATTTTACCATCTTCCATTACAAAATCATACATTTTACAAATATTTTTTGTACTACAAAATATAAAGTAAGTTCTGTATGTTTTTTATGTTCATACTTTACAAACATAGTTTAGAAGTAATTTATTAACAAATAAAATAATAACTCTGTATTGCCCACAGATAAACAAAGAATAAAATAGAAAATACAAACATGATACACAAAAATCTGAACTACATAAATAATACATACAACAGCGCAAATAACAGGCTAAATACAGAGAATAGATTCAATTTACATTTACTACACAAAACGCTATATATGATTTACTTGCATTATTGGACTTGGATCCCTTCAATCTAAGCATCCTTAATTCCACTCTGTGCTGAGCAAGTGTGTTTAAGTCAATTAAAAAAATATAACTTACTTTTTCTCTGCGGGTGGTAGCTCTAGATCTTCATCATCAATAGTTTGTACAAACAAGTCATCATATTTCATACGCTCCTTCTGTACTCCAGATGGAGCTATAAAGATTTTGTCACTGAAAACATTACGTAAATAATTTTTACAAACCAATTTTATTAATTAATTTGATTGCCACTAACAATATGAATGTGGATGGATGGAAAGAGAGAGGACACCTTAAAAAAGATGGTTGGATTGTGTGAAAGTATGAGATATGAGTAAAACTTGTTAAAATTTGTTTTGTAAGTGGCATCATCATTGCCTTGCTTTTATCCCATTATTTGGGATCGGTGCAGTATGTTATACTCTTCCACTGATCTCTATGGGCCATCATATCTGAGCATACGGAGAGTATGCTCAGATATACATATATCATACAAAACAAAGCTCAGATATAGATACAAAACAAATTTTACCAATACAATTTCAACTCCATCCAAACAATGATTAAGCATTGAAAAAGGAGTATGTATGATGTACAGAGATTTAAATAAGTATAATAACATATATAAAAACAAACAGGTATAGAAATGCAAAAGGTTTCATTGGGAATTATTACTATTATGTAATGGAACTTTCTAATGCACTATTTTGCTCAAAATAGAGTAAACTTGATAGATTTAGAGGATGCCTTAGCCCCTGGGTTTTGTATTGCGGGACCTAATATAATTCATAGAAATATATGTAAAATGAATAATGAATAACTTACTTTATAGGATCATTATTAATATTATAAATGCAAAAGTTTGTGAGTATGAATGGATCTTTGTTACTCTTTCACACAAAAACTACTGAACAGATTTTCATGAAACTTAACAGTAATATAGCTTATACGTCAGAATAATATATAGGCTATAAATTTCTTGTAGGTGAAACTGTGGGCACAGCTAGTGAGTTATAATTAAAATAATGAATAATTTTGAAACTTAATATGTAACAAAAAGTGCCGAATGGATTTCTTTCTCTTTATTATATTATGAAGCTGGGATGAAAACTGATGGTCATAATGGTTACAAAAGACATGAATATATCATATGAATAACTCTATAGATCATTAGCAATTAGTTTTTTTTTATATTGTAACATTGTTGAAGGCACTGATAAAATATTTTTTCTTTCTTTCAATCAAACATTGCCACTATGAAGAACTAGTCTTCCTTCAGTTCGATTCTGTAATTTCACAGCTGTATTTCAATCTTCAACCCGAAACTGCTAACAAAGTGCAATAATCAGAGGTAGGTGAGACAGAAGTCCATGCAGAGGACTTTACATAAAGTTTGTCAATTTATTAATTATTAAAATGTATATTTACCCTTCCTTAATTGAAATACCACCGCCAGTCCCTGTGACCCATCCTAAGTGATAAAACTGATTGCAAAGCTCTGGAATTAGGTTCCTCGGATGTTCCTGTAATTAATACAAAATATTATGTTAAAATATGATTTATTTACAGGTACAAATTAGTTGTAAATTTACTTGAAACGTACTGGACCAAACTCCGACATGGTTAGAATAAGATCTTCAATTAAAATTGAGACGCAGATTCTGTTATCAATATAGTAATTTATCAACTGAAAACTTATGCGAGATGAAATTATTCACATATGAGTGTTATAAAGATAATTAAAAACGTAGTGATTAGTTCTTATGTCGAGATAATTATAATTACTGTAATAATAATATTTATTTATCAAATAGAACGAGTTTAAGAATACCGATAAAACCAAAAATAAACAAATATTAATCAGTCAGTCAGTATCAATATCCGTTCAGTTAGTCTTTCAAATAAAAATATGTCATTGGCTGTCATTGTCAGGACTTATTTTTTTTAATTCTTGAGAGGAATGGAGTAGTATATTGGCAAATGGTCATATCCGGCATTTTTTTAAGGATAATAATGGAATGGTGCACCCGTCTGTGCTAACAGTTTACGCTGGCGGGGCACCAGTGGAGTATAAGATGAGCATGAGGTCAGGTCAGTTAGCCTGTCGTGGCAAATTCACTAGGAATTTATCTCGGTAGTTTCCAGGAGGAACCGTGTGGAGGTCGACCTGACATGGTACATTGTTAGCAAAGGGAATTACTAGTTCCCATTACTAGCAATCGTCTTCCCATATCTGGCATTAGGTACATATTACCTAATCTGATGTTTGTTTTGTTTTTAAGAGTTTAATAATCTTCTTTTATAAATATTTTGCGTAAAAGTTGCTGGTTCTACAGAATGTTAAAAATAAAAATAAGACAATAATTAGTACACATTATTTTTGTCAGTTTGTAACTGTGATAGCATGTTGAAATTATAGCAGAATTTATCAATATTTATATTAAAATTGTTTGCTGTGATCACAGACCATGACAAGAAAATTAATTATTGTTTAAATATATTGTGCTTGGTTAGTATTTAGAAAATTTGAGAAGCAGACGTTTTATTCCTCAATTATATTCATGGTACTATTTATTTATATAGATATAGACTGGAAATTGTTATACCTGATATAGTAGTTAGAGCCATTGTCAATTATGGACGTCATGGAAAACACTGACTCCAATATTCGCATTTCGTTCGATGGATACCGTTGTCTTTATCATTCAGCCGACAAGCAGCTTGCTTTATAAGCTGAGAATCAGTTTTAGGGTAAAATTAGGCAGTGAAATTACAAGATAAGAGACTTGATAGTCTATGTCAAGTCTAGCTTAGTCCTATGGAATAACAACGGATGAGTGGTATCGCGCACATGAGAACTTGATGTCTGCAATTTTCTTTATGTTCAAAGGCGATGGTTACCACTTACCATCAGATCAACTGACAGCTTGTTTGCTATTGTAATTCCATAAAAAAGGTACTATTTCAATCGAACTTGCTAGTTATACAATATTTTTTTATGTCGGCCAATTACGAACTGAATTCCTCAGGTCTAAATCAGGGTAAAACTAAAGAACATGACGGTCTTAGTAATATTTTGTTCAACAGATACAAAGTTGCAGTATGCCAGAGATTCCAGAATGCTTGAATCGCCGCTACTTGGCTCTCGATGAACTGATCAAGGACTTGTCTTCGGGAATGTCAAATTGTAGATCTAAAGCGGATTGTCCAGCTGAGTCAACCACCGACGTCGGTATCAAACTAATGTGCGATTTCTGGAACATTCTCAAAGAAGACCCCGATTGTGACTTGACTGTAATTATAGTTAAATCATCGTAATTTGACCTTAATAACATAGTTAATATTTTATGTGCTACTTTTGTGAAATAACACCTAATTCAATAAAATATATACTTTATGTTTTTATCTAGCAAGCAGTTCAACAACGTATGGGTTTGAATGAGAAAAGTAACAACGGGTATAGAACTCAACCCGTCTCTTGCTATATGGCAAGAACGGGGAGCAACAATGATAACGACGAGAGCAAGAAGAGATGCGCTGTAAATAAAATTAAAAAGTACTGAATAATATATTTCATTCATACCATAGAATTCTAGGTCACACTGAAAATAAAAGACGGATGGATTGTGTGAAAAATTATAAAAAAGGAAACTGATATACGATGGCTGATAGAGTCAATTATGGAATCACTACACCTACCACAAATAAGAATAAAGGCAAAGTAATAATTACTAGATAGCATAATGACGACTAATTGAGCGAGAATTGCCTTGCCTGAGAATTGCCTGAGAATGAATCGAACTATGGATATCATTTTTACGAGTTCCCTATATTTCAACACTCTTAGTAGCATCCTGCAAACGAGTCGTCTGATGACGAGGGTAGTTAATGATTATTGCAAGTACAAAAATCTTATCTTACATAACCTCTTCTATACAACTCCATCATTAAATTTACTGTATCTCATCTATTGTTCTTCTACATAATAGTTAATTTCTTAGTTTTTGCTGCCATAGTCCCGAACCGGAGTCTACACTAAAATGTTCAGCATCGAAATCAGTTTCTCAAAGCATGGATACTGATGTACTACCACTCAGCAAGGTTCTTTGTAATTTGAAAGAGGTAAGCTTTAAAGACTTAAATAGATATTTATTTGTAGCTGAGTAGTCAATATAATATGCATAATAGTAATATGCTGAATAATTTTGTCTCCAAAAAGGCAGCATCGTTTGATAAGAAATGCAATGTAAGAGTGAACGAGCTGATAAAAACTCAGAAACAACTGCAAGATCAGATACAACATTTAGAACACAGAGAAAAGGACGGTGTAGAGTTGCTGAAGCAAGCAGATTGTATGTGGTCGTGTATGGAAGATGCGTATAAGAAAAAAATATCCGAGTCTCTAGAAAGGCAGAAGGATTTATTAAAGCAGGTTACATATTATTAGGAATTTTATTGAAAGCATTATGATGTTTTTATGTTGGTAATACTTATTGGTTACTTATTTAAATATGGAATATTTATTAAACTCTTAATAACTCAACTTTATGAATTGTTATTTATATATATTTCAGTTAAAAGAAGTCGAAGCAAGCACGACAAAATGGCGTAAAAATAAGAAAGATTTGGAATTTCAAATTGATAATGTAAACAAATGTCAACAAGAGATATTGGACAAGATTAATCAGAAAACGAATGACATTAAATGTATAGAAATGGAAATAGGCGAATTTAACAAGCGAATAGAAAATAATAAAAAAGATGCAGAAACTGCTAAGAAGTCTTTGAGTAATAAAAAACAGGCGTCAAACGTATGATATTTTATATTTTAAATTTAATGTACATTGCTTATTATAAGGTCCATTATGTGTTACTATTCTTGGAACTTGAATTTCAGTACCTCTACCTAGGTAACATATAATATGAGTAATGTAAATATTTTTGTAGTATCTAATAACGGCCGTATGAAATTAGAATCTGATTAAAGTATCAGATATTATTATTTCATTTTAGTTAAAAATTACTTCTATAAGTACTGAGATCACCAAAGTCCAGAAAAAATTAAAAGATGAACAGAAAAATAAATATGATAAAGAACAAGAGGGTAATCAATATATAAAGGAAGCACGAGAAGATTTACAGAAGATATGTAGAGTATTGTTAGAGAAGAAACTTGAAAATGAAGATCAAAAGGCAGAGGTTAGCATTAAAATTATAGTCATAATTTTTATTATTAAAAATATTATAATATACATGACAAATCTCACGTTCAACAAATATTTTAGCGTGAAGCATTAATATTGGAGCTCGATATGTTGAAACAAACATGCGATCAATGCAGAGATAAATGCAAAAACAAACATATATCAATTAATAACGAAATTATGAAGATCGACAAAGAAATAGCACAATTTAAAGTTAAATGCATTAGATGCCACGAATGTACCGATACTGCTGATGTTAGGACATTTTGTACAGATTGTCCACGATGTCTTGAAGCACGAGATTGTTTATATACAGATGGTCAATGCAAACCTGACCATACGATGGATTGTGTGTGCATGAGTATAAAGCAGAAATTTCTTGATAATGTCTTTGATAATATGTACACTGTATTGGAAAAAGAAGCTAAAACAGGTCCTGGTAAAGCAGTAGCTGAAGCAGTCCTGCGTTGCTTAAAAAAAAGTAGAAATGGGAAATTGAACGAAGAAACAAGAAAAATTCTCCAAGATTTTATATTAACAACGGTAAAAAAGAATTTAAATTTGACTATTGTTGGAGGTGCAGTGAAGACTCGATGTGAAGTAAGTGTTGTTATTAACGTTGGTAGTATATTGAATTGCATTTATTCTCGCATTGTTAGTTAGTATATCCTCTACTTTGCCTAATAATATGAAGAATATACTTTATTATGACGGTACACTCATGTGTAATGAAAATGGGCTGCTGTAATTTGCTGGAATACCTAAAATTTTCTTCCGATATTAAAAAGTATAATTTCTAAAATCCATATTACGACTATTGAAATAATATCTTAGATAAATGAACTAAAATAACCTAACATGAATTTTAGAATTTCACATGTTGTAAATAAACATAAATAGTTAACATTTTAATTACCAAACATTTTGAACGCTTGTGACTTGAAGATATTGAGTGATGTAAGTTACATTACTCATCTCATATCGCACTTATATGAATTATCTACATTTTCACATACTACGTATTGAGTATTAGAAAGTACATAAATCGCAATTGTAACAATAGATTTTCCACTTATTTCTTTAGATGGATGCGGAAACCTATAATCAATTAATGCTCTGTCTCAAAGAAGTGAAATTAACGCAACCTTTAAAAGTGGATGTTGGGACTGTTGCTAAAAAGGTTTTTTTTTACTATTTCGTAGTATTTTATTAGTAAATAGTACTTATTAATTGTAAATATATTTTTATGTAATATAAAATAGCCTATATCCTACCTCGTGATACTTCATATCAAGTTTAATTGAGTACCATTTATTCGTAAAAGTAATAGATAGACAGACAGATACACTTCCTCATTTATAATTTTAGTATGGATTTATGTTGATGGTTGAAAATCATTTGCATTGATTGAAATATCAATGTAAAGTAATTGTATATATTATAATATTTTTTTTAAATCGCCATGTAAATAAAAAATACACTGCGTTACGACTCGACTGTATTAGTTCTTTTATGCAGTGCAGAATAATAGCAATTTAGCGGTATCGCCTTACTTCCGATGGTCGTGGGTGCGCATATTCATCAGTATGATTGTTTGTAATGATCTGGGTGTTTCTTATATATATTATGTTATTTAGAAAATACGTATCTAACTATTTGTACCAGTTGTCTAGTACCCATAATACAAGCTCTTGAGACCACAGGGAGCTGTGTAAATTATCCTGAATTATTATTATTATTATTACTAATATTGCAGGATAGTTATCCTTCATAAATCTTAGTAGATTGCTTAGATTCTACTCAGTACTCTGTTTTAGGAACCTTGTCGCCGTTGGGGTGGTACTAGTGAGTGTAACTGTCCAAAAGGTCCTAAATCTTGTATATGCACGAAGAAAGCTTTACCGCCTCCTAACGATCCTACTCCTTGTCCACCGCCGGAGAAGGAAGATATTGTAAGAAATCATTTTGACTAAAATTATCTTTCATGTCATTTTTTTCCTAGGCTAGATGATTGATTAGACTAGATTTATTTTTATTTACTAACTACTCACCCCGTCTTAGGGTGTAGGTATATGTATTATTTATATATTGTACATCTCTCGTGTATCTCGTTGTGTACTCTGATAGAGTGGTTTCATCTCTCACTGAAACCACTCTATCACTGAAAACTGCATTTAAATCAGTTATGTAGTTTGAAAGATCTAAGCGCACAGACCGCGGGGGCGACATGTTTTATATTATGTAAATACTAGCATACTATTTAATTTTATATATACCATATTTCTGAACTGATTTATAATGAATTAATATAAACATAGTCTCTAATTGTGTCAATAAGTAAGTTCTGTTTCTTTTCTTTAGAGTGATGTTGTGGCTTGTCCTCATAAAGAAGGTGCTCCTTGCGGTGCTGACTGTGCTTTGCATACCATTCCAAGTTGTGTAGGTGCAGATGTAGCATCTTGGAGCACAAATCCTTGTAAGGAACAAGTGTGTCCATTCTCGAAGAATATGAGAGCAGCTCAATGTTTTCTTGGACCAGAATCATTATCTTCATTGTCAAATCTACCGGAATCTATTAAGCCTGATATATCAGTTTTACCAGAACAGGTGAGTAATAAATTTTTTTTATGGTAGGACTGTCATAAAAATTTTATTACAAATTATTATGCACTACAATTTATTGCTTTTTGCAGATCATGTGTAATTGTGGAAATACTCCCAAAAAGCCATGCACGTGTCGTGGAGGTGAGTAAAAAATGATTTTATAATAATATCCCAAATATACGTGAGAGTACAAATAACAGTTTAATTTGCAATATACATAAATGACGTAGGAATTTCGTCATTATAGATGTTAAGAATCATCCGCGTGACCGAATAATTGAGGAAGTAATGGGAAGATACATTGAAGTGACACCCATTGAGAAAGTAAGTTACACGGTCATAAACAATGCATCCTGATGATATAAAATAATCTTGTCTGTGATCAAGTAAACTTATTCATAATTGTTATTTTGGTAATTAGACAAATAAAATTATTCATGCTTTATCAAATTAAATTATTCATTGTCTTGGTTTTATTTTTACTTGTAAATTTATAGAAATAATCACCATGTGAGTGGTTTTGGTCAAACTTAATAAAATATTGTTTTATCTTAGGTTACAACTATATATAAACAAAGTAGCAATGCAATAAAAGGAATCAAAGAATCTAAAGTTTACGTTAGTACAAACATGTCTATAAATAATACTTCAATAAAACTAAAGGATTGTAATAAGAAAAGAGATTGTTTTAATAAGAATTGTAAGATAAAAAAGTTTCATACGTACAAAAGCAACAAAGATATTTGTGTCTCAAATAGTATAGATTACAACAGAATAAAAATATATTGTAAAAAGGATTTGAAATACAAAGAAAAAGTTGTGAAAGGAATGAAACCCCATATGAAATATGCTTTAATAACTGATTATAAAGTTGGTAATTCTAAAACTAATTCGTCGAATGCTTTTATAAATAAACGTGATCAGTATTCTGTCAATAGCTTACTTGAAAGAAATGTCTGTAACACAGTTAAAGAAGTAATACAAGATGTTATAGATAGTGAAGCAAACGTCAAACATAGTATACACTCCTCAGATATTGAGGATGTAACAATGCAATCATTGATAAATGAAATAGTTTCTCGTACAAAAATATCAGCAGATAATAGTACTTCGACTTTAGATGAAAGAGAAATCACCACCGAATATTTTGAATATAGTAATATTACATAAATATTCGTAAATAAATTTTATTTTGTATAGGTTAAACAAAATATGACTTCAATAATCTAAATATAATGTTATAATATGCAAAGTGAAATATGATTATTATTTATACAACAATTTTAACAATAATGTAAAAACAATAAAAACGTCGTAAGATAACAATTAGAATGTGTAGTAAATATAAAGTTTGAAGTATATTTTTAATCGAATAACGGAAATTATGTGTAAGATAAGTTTTCTTATGTGCGAAGGTAAATTGCTGCTTTCACCTTTTGTACTCTCACGTATTAAGTTATAATATTTATAACAATTTTTATTGATAATTACAGATGTAAAATATGTCAAAACTACACTAATGACTGAATGTAATAAAAGTACATGTGTGTTAATATGGGATCAAGGAGACAATGAAATAGAACTCAGAGATTCAACGAAAGAATATAAAGAGAATATAAACATTACCGACACTGAACCTAAAAATAAGAAAGATAAAGCACCATTAGTAGTTTCGAAACAATCTAGTTTTAGTAATAAAAATATTACTTTTGGTAAACAATCCAATGACGTAGCTGATTGTTCTTTTTCAAATGCATTAAAAATTTCCATACTAAACGAGAATGGAGGGTTGGATGTTTATTTTACTGATATAATAAACACTCCATCAGGAGGTTTAGCAATGAAAGTTGACGAAAAAGTTATACATTTTATTGAAAATAGAATTAAGGACGATCCTAATTTGTTAGTATATTTAAATGAAAAAAAATCAGGATATTTTTTGATCGATTTTGCTTATAAAGAAAGTGCATATTGTAGATCTAAAAGGCTATTAATAAACAGGACACCATCAGGTACTATGTCATTTAAAGTAGAAAAAGGACATTTGAAAACGATCAAACCTAGTTTTACACAGAGTGTATTAGAACTAAATGATGAATTAGCAAAAAAGTCGTCCATATGTATAAAATTATCAAAAACTAGTAAAGTTACTAATAAGAGCTCAACAGAGCATGTGAAGAAAATAACAAACGTAACAAATTATCAGCGTAATGAAACAGATAAAGTATCTCATAAATCAGTTGAGAGCTTCAAAACTCAATTAGAGAATCAATATAATTACGGCACTAAACATATCACTTTGAAGATTCAAGCTGATAACAATTATTTCAAATATGCCGATGGAAGATTATTAAAGACAAAGTCAGGAAATATTGCTATAATTATTAAAAATGTTTGTATATTTAATAACATATTTGATAAAACGGATGAAGCTTTTATTTCTTTGGATAAATCAGATTCGGTCACGTTTTTGATAGATATAAACGGACAACATAATAATAAAGTACCTAATGCTTCTCTGAAAAAAGATTCTCAAGAGAATCTAATAGTCGTTTTAGCAGACACATATAAAGAAAGCCAAGAAATTAAAATCAATTCTGATCCTGTACACAAAGGAAATTTCTATAAAATGAGAATAAAAGGGATTGAAAATATTGGTGAATCACCTGCAATATTAAAATTAACGCCATCAGAAAATTATATAATTGTTGTAGATAAGGAATTCGAAAAGAAATATATACAAACTATTAGTGATTATATGGATGATAATTGTAAGTGCTCTCTGGATCTAGTTAGAACCGATTCAGGTAATTATGAAATAATATTCGGTAACAGTTCAGTTTCACAACAGGAGCGAAATGCTTTTATAGTAAAATCTCCATCTGGAAATATAAAAATTTTAGTTAACGGGCCTGCTTTTGAAACTCTTTCGAGAACATCAGGGTTAAATCCGAATATATCAATTCATAACTCATTTAGTGAAATAATTGAGAAAATGTTTGACAAACTTCCTTCAACATGCCAACAAGTCAATACGGAACAAGTAAAACAATCTAAACTTCTTGCTACAAACAGTAAAAGCGATTCACATTTACATGAAAAAGTTAAATTTAGACTTCAAAACCAGCAAATTTTACTTTCGGATCCTTCTGCTTTGTTAAAAAAGATCAATTCTGGACAGTATGCTATTGTTACAAATAAAAAATCAAAAATAACTTTCATGAATACTTTAAAAAGTTATTTAGCAAGAAAATCACTAGATATTATTCCAATCAAACGAATAAATTCTAGAGAAATCACTATAATGTTAAATAACGACGATGGAATAAATGATCAGAATGGATCATTGAAAATTACGCCGTCAGGAAACATTTACATTTTAATTAATGAAACTGTTATAAAAAGTATAAAAAACTGTAACTTGAAACGGGAATGTGATGAATATATTGATCATTTTAAAAGTTATCCTTATAATATAAATACTGCTAATAAAGCGGTCACTACAACTTGTAATTTTCAGCCCGATGATTGTTCATGCGATGATGTAACTAGATGTTTTTGTAAAGAATTACAATGTCAATATACAAATACATTAGAAAATTCAGAAGAAATGGAAAATATACGACTTTTTAGACCAGAAATGTGTGGGATTGATTGGAGAAAAGTTAAAAGAAGACCCAATAAAATCTATAAGATTTGTGATCCTAACAAGTGTTCATCCAAGTGTTGTCCGAATGACAAAAAACATAGTAAATATGTAAAAACACATATAAAATCACCACATATAGCAATTAAACCTCGAGAAACTAGATTAGCACAGAAAAAAGATTCTCAACGAAATAAACATTGTTTTTATTTAACAGAATCTGTTTGTCCATATCACAAGGATAGATATGATAATGTTTCGAACGAATTATTAGAAATTTCTGGATTATGCAATAAGGTGCAAGGACAAAAAAATAAATTAAGAAAAGTTGTTGCAAATTTAACATATACTAGAAATGCTAAATCTTTGATGCAACCTTTTGATTATTTAGACACCTTACCTCCACAACTGCCGTATTTTCTTAATAACTATCACGTATAGATACACAATAATTATATAATGTTTCCGTTGTCTCTATGGATAATTATAGTTAAATTGTATTTGTTAAATAAATGTATATTACATGTTGGTAATGTCATGATCTGTAATTAGAGCCGAAATAAAAACTACTGATAGTATTGAATTTTATTTTTTTAACTACAATATAAATTAAAATATAATAAAAATTCTTATCGAATAAAGCCTATTATTCTATAAATCATTATTTGGCAGATGACCAACAACAACTAACATCAGACAAGGCATTATATATTTTAAATATGTTAGGAAAATACATGTTATGCGATATGTAAAGATTGAAATAAACTAAAAGAAATAATATAAAAAAGTAAGTGGTATTTCATTCATTTTTTTAGTAGTAGAGTTTCTTGCCAGTTAGACCATCTTAGCAAATTTACTAGGAATTACTAACAATGGTTTTCTGGGAGTAATCGACTAGAGTACGTTGCTTGCAATTAGTCTACTAGCCCTCTATATGAACAATATTCCCTTCTATTGGTATTGTATTTAAGTAAACAATTTTTTTTTAATGTATAATGGTATGGTTCACCCTCCTGCGCTAACGGTTTACGCTGGCTGTGCACCAGTGGAGGATGATAGGAGCATGAGGTCAGGTCAGTTAGCCCATCGTGGAAAATTCGCCGGGAGTTTATCATGATGGTTTCCAGCGGCAACCGCGTGGAGATCAACCTGACATGGTACATTGCTAGCAATGATATCATCAGTCCACATTACTCATAATTCCCTTTCCCAATAGAAAAAGAATGTCAAGATGTTATTGTCTTTTTATATTCAGAACTAATGGTTGCTCATTGAAACACATGTCATGTAAGCTTTATCTGCGAAAGATTTAACTGCACACTGCAGGGAAGATGATACAACTGTTTGTGAGACGAATCTTTAATGCACCATGTTAAATCCAAATATAATAATTTTAATCCAGCAAGCAAGTTTCAACCGTATATCTACACAATAGGTACAAATATAACTTTTATCTTTTAGCCAAAGTAAATAGAAATGACTACGGGGACGGTTCGTTTCAGGAAGAAAATAACTTGTAATACATATTTGAGAATTTAAAAACACATTCTATTTTTTTAATTCCATAGAGGAAATAATGATCCAACATAAAAACTTCACTGAAGATTAATCAGTCCCTATAACCGAAAAACAGCTTACAAAGCAAGCTGCTTGGCAGTTGTAGGTGAGACTAAGATCTAAGTTATCGGAACGTAATGTGTGAAAGAGACATATAAATGACGTGTGTCCGAGCGAGAGAAAATATAGACTCCTAAAAGATGTCCTTCATTTGCAGAGGTATCCACGCTTACAACTTTCACAGACTACCCCTGGTAATCTTTCATTTACTAAATCTTATGTTTTCACCGAAGTCCCATCCGATGGTCAGATCAAATATCACGTCAACTGAACATTACTGTCAGCGCCGCAATACATCAGACATCTGAGCGCAGCAGATGGCGACGGCTAGTCGACAAGATAGTATAGAGTCACGATCCTCAGCAGTGAGGGAACGATTAAGAAGATGCTTTCACCACCACGGCTCTATTTATGTATTTACAGTTCCGAATCGTTCTATTTATTTTTAATTCGAAATACCTGAAGCATATGTACAGTTCGCAACCAAATCATTATCTTTTCAGCATTCCAGTGAGTTCGAATTCTTGTTGAATACAAATTGTTTCTTTGTCGGCCAAGTTTCGTGAGAGACAATTCAAATAATCTGCCTATGTGTTTTCGCTTACAACGTAAATTTTCTAAGGGATATCAGTAGGTGGTTTTGTTTTATTTGACTGGAATGACATGCTGATGGCCTACCTGGTGGAAAGAAGAAACTATCACGTATAGACTGATCATACAAACAACATACTCTTTCTTTGTATGTGTACTACAGTTGTGTAAAAAGGTAGTAATTCAATGCACAGGTTTTTTTTACATTACCTTGTTAAATATAAAGAAAGAGAAAGGGATGGTCATATATGAAATTGTATATATATTGTATTTATTATATATCTGTTGATTTAAATAAATTTATATATCTATTTATCTTAAATAGCTCTCAAGCAATTATATTTCAGTAGTCAGTAATCTCAATTTTTAATTATAATATATATAACAGAATATATATCGCACTTGCAATTCCCCTTATGCTGCTGGTGCTTATGTGTACTTACTATTGGGGAATAGGGATTGTTAGTAATGTCGACGAATAATTCTATTATTAGCAATGTCAGTCGGATCTCCTCCTCCTATCCTCCTGAAAATTTTCAAAAAGTTATCACGATGTTTTCCAGGGGGAACCGCGTGGAGATCAGTCTGACATTGCTAATAATAGACTTATTTGTCTACATTGATGGACGACCTGATCTCATGCTCAACTTATCATCCTCCATTGGTGCCTCGTCAATGTAAACCGTTAGCGCAAACGCGTGCACTATTCTATTATCATTTATTAAAAAAAACCATCAGGTAACATCGTTCGACTCCTATATACCATATGTAAAAAAAAATGAATAAGCTGTTCAGGGGTACAAATCTGAGTGAGACATAAGGGACTCCGGCAGACGACTCTTTACAATATCTATCTCGGATTAATGATTATTTGTGTTGAGTATTGTGATGAACAAATTATTTGGTATTTTTAAAAGGTTTCTATAGTAAAGAAACACATAGATAATCTCCCAGACAACACGAGTAAACTCAAGCGTAGCATTTTTCGCCTCCGCGGTATCGAGGGATGTTTTTTGCAACCCTGCGTCCGACCTGATTGATTTACGACCGCCCGCGTGATCTAGTTTTAGATGTTCGAGATAAGATCCGAACGATTTCGGTGTGATGCGAGAAGCGAGCGAAATTATCGAACGCTCGCTCGTGCGTAACGTGTTATTTGACGGAAGATTGCGTTTTTTTTTGTTGTGCTGCAAATTACGTTTTCTTACCATATTGTTCTATGTAGTGTAGTTTCAGTGTTTGAAGATTATGTTGCGTGACACGATGTAATACTATATGTATTATTTTGCATACCTATACGAACTTGCCCGAAATTGTTATTTTATACTTGGAAATATTGGAAAATCCTTCGACACGCTATAAACTAGACTACTATTATAAAAGATAATTTAGTATTTAATGTGTAAATTTATTTCGTATTTATATAAAATATATATTTTTAATTAGCAGTGTATATGAATAATAAGCTGACTGAGACGACTAATAAGATGATGAGATGACTGACGGGAGAATGACAAGAGCACCGATGTTTCGCAAATATTTTACTAAAACTAATGTCAGATGTAAACAAATTAATAAATATAAACCTCAAAAAATAATTTCAGAAGAAAATGTAACATAACAATATTTTGTTTTGTTACATTCTCTTCGATTTTGCATTATTTTGTGTTGTGTTGTATCTATTTATTGCATGTTGTTATGTATGTTTGTATGTATATATATACATATATACATAAAATTAATATTGGTGTATACTGTTTATATATGTAATATGTTATATTAATTTGTCATTATTATTATTATGTTTCTTTTTTCTCTCCTATTCTAGTGCCACCTCCCACCTTTTGTTTTTTTCTCCTCTACCCAAAGGTTGCCTGGAAGAGATTGCATAAGCGATAAGGCCGCCTTTTGTACCCTTTTATTTTAATTACTCTATTAATGTAATTTTTACTGGTGCAATAAAGAGTATATAAATAAATAAATAATATTATAAAGATTTTTAAATTTAATAACGAATTTTCAAATTTACTTGCGAGATGTCATAGTATGCGAGATAGCGGTTCTTTTTGTCAATTATTTCCTGTAGGTTGAAACTTTTAAGATCGTTATGAAGTTGTGTTAGGAAGTTTAGTGAAGTTAGCTGGTTACCTGAAACTTATGGTACATATAAAGTTTATAAAGAATACTTTAATAATAATAATAGTATTATCAAATACAATTTCCATGATAATTAAATACCTTTAGCTGACGTGTATACCACTATATTGCAGTCAATTGACTAACAATTTCATTTACTGAAAATAGCGAAAAAATTAACATGTGTCATATCACTCAATTATTTTTTCATATTCGTGCTATCAGGTGATATAATTCTCCACGCTACAGTCAGCTGACTATTTAGTATTTATTTGAAGACTATTTGAACCGGGTTGAATTGACTTATTTTTTTTTATTTTTACATGCTTACGAGGATGCTGCTCAACAACAGACCCTCCGATAAGTAACTGATTTCCAATAGGCTTCAATCACCATTAACTATCTTAAAAATTTTAAACATGGTGAAAATTGATCACCTCGATCTGTTCCTGGCTCGCGGATCATTTTTAGGTATACGGATACTGGCTGCTTGCGACTTCATTCCGTGAATTTGGTCTTATTTGCACAGCTTATATTTTTATATTCGATCCATCTGGATTGGAAATTGGAATGTGATCTGAATATTAATAGTACCTACCTTTTATGTGATTCGCCTGATCAAGTAGATATTGTCTTACTTATTTTCACAATAAAGCGAGAGCTTTAATTTAAAAACTTTAACTTAAACTCAAAAGTGCTTGCAAATGAGTTTATTTGAATAATGATTATTTCTATTCCTATTTCTAAAAAGGCATCAAAAATTTGTTGAGATTTTCATTTGAAGATAACTATTGTTATAAGAAGTAACTTAGTTACTTATCATTCATTTTATTTAAAAAAAATCGCTGACGAATTATAACACTTTTGAATAGTTTTCTTTTTATTTTACCACTCATACGGGACGTAGATTCATCACAATAACTTGGGTGTTTCTTTTTTAACATAAATATTGTTTTTGGTAAACATACATTAACAAGGATTAGACAAGCGACAATCAACATAGAAACCGGCTCGCATGCAAGTCGCGGCTAACAGCTAGTCTACAATACGTTTACCAGAGTTTGGTATTATTCAAAGTCGTCTACATGGATATCTCAGTGTTACCTACTGCAGACGATAAGTAACAATCTTGGTAAGCTGTGTTTCGGTTGAAGAATTCAAATTCAAAAAATTCAGAATTCTTTATTTAGATAACACCATTTTACAATTACATTCTACAGTTGTTGAAGCATAAAGATGCCTGTGCCAGGAGGCTCCGCTCTTCCATACCTTATATCACTACTTTTGTAAAATGTTTCTTGTTTATTATACTATAAATAATTAGTTATATAATTCAATTTTAAAGTACATACATTATAGGAAACATTGTATTCAAGAATACTTACATGGCATTTAAGCAAGCATTATGTATTGATATTGTTTCTGTGGTGCTGTTTATATATGTTGTGGTTACCACTTACCATCAGGTGGTCAAGTTCATTGTCATTCCAGTTACATAAAAAATGTAGCTATAAATATTATTTCCATTCCATTGTTGTTATGGTTATGTTAATTTTATGAATTAACGATTATCACAAACATCAAGATGCGTTTTTATAGTATTTTTTTTACCAGATATATATACAGAGTAGTAATTATGTATAGAGCAATACATATAATTACACACATAGTAGTGTTGTACATTTTGTTTTAAATTACAAGATTAAATTATTAATAACAGTTATAACTATGGAAGGTATATCCTGTATTTCTATGTCACTAAATAAATAGTAGTAACTATTAAATCACATAAAAACGACTATATTTCGGTATATATAAAAAGTTCAAAAGATGTAGGTAATAGAAAGAGAATAAAATGCTTGAATACCTATAACATCTTGAATCTGCCTAAAAATGCAAGGAAATTCGAACTTTCATTCCCAATTTTCCAGTTTACAAAAGAAGCGTGGCTCAATTTGTCAAACCATCCATCCGGACACTTAAAATGGGTTATAAAACTTTTAACACTCGACCTGCATAGACATCGAGGGCGACACTTACAGTTTTGTGGATCCGGCAAAGGAAACCTACATAAAACGGAATGGGAGGCGACCGAACCGAATAAAACGAAAGGTCGCGGCGTCGGGTCGCAATAAAACTAGCTACTCGATGGATAAAAAACGGAAAGAAACGGCAAATATAGCTGGCTACCTCTTCAAGATGTGTACTTAAGATCTGAATAAATAAAACAGCCAAAAAAGTGAGGTATTTGTGAAAAATTGAGTTATGTATCTACATAAAAAAGAAAATGAAGTTATGTAATCTAATAGAACGAGGTCCGTACATTATTAATATTAAAAAAAAATTATAGCTGTTATTCCTAACATACTAACATAGGCTGAATATTATTTTCCTCGTTCGTTATCCCAGTTTCTAAATAAGCATTGATGACTGGGCAGCACGGGCTCTGCCCTTAGCCCATTCGATTGGAACAAAAAGAAAAAATATCTTATAGCAGACTAGTTCAAAACGACGTAGTGATTATTTGCTCAGTGAACTAGTTGAAGAAATGTATAATAAGCAATGCTTTAACAAATATTTATCAATATTTTATGGACAATATTTTTATCTCAATTTATTTCCTTCAAATATCACTTCAAAGCAACAATTATATAGAAATCGAAAGAAATTCATTAAATATTACACGTGAGTGGGAATAATAGAGTCAGTAGACTGTTTGCTCATAGAAATCTCAATGTGATAAAGAAACATGTTTAAATTTACCTACATTAAAGTTACATCTTTTTTGCTTTAAAATATTGTTAAGTTTAATATAAGTTTTTAGTTTAATCAATAATATATTCAAACATTTCTCGCTTTTATGTTATTATTCTTGACTTTATATTTGTAC